TCAGTTTAAAGCTTTATTCTGCTGTCTGATGCTGCAGGTGTTTATTAAAGTCAAAGGAAAGAATCTGACACGCAGCCAATTACATTCAGTGAAATCTGAACGGCGTTATTGTAAGACTCCGGCGTTAATCTAACACGTTTCAGGTCCGTCTGAGTAGCATTAATGGCTTTATTTAACAGACATGTCAACGTATTATATAATAGATGTCTGTGGGTGGTGCAGCGCTACCTGGACACCTGCCACAGCTTCACCACCTCTGGCTGGGTGACGAAGTGTGATGCTGAAACACCCTTTGACTCCAGGAAACATTGCTAATGATGTGTTCGGGTGCATTAAAATGGCACATTGTATGTTTAAAAGGAGTGTAATCGATACCGTATGATATAACGGAGAAGTAAAATCACCAAGAGACGTGACATTACTGATGTTGCAGAACTCTTTGTGTTTGCACCTCTGCTGGCTGAAGAGACATAAACTGAAGCTTTTGAACCCTCTGTATTTTTGATTCTGCGTCAGGCTCTGCGTGAAGAGAAGCTCTGCTCACTGTGAAAAGTAACTTCACAGTCTGTGATTCATTAATGGGCTGTAGGCGTCTTGTAACTTCTGTCCAATACTTTACGTTTGGTTTCTCTTTGTCACATTTGTACTGAAGACAAAGAAATACGCGATGCAAAACAGGGAACGTTATTTAACACATGTGGCCTCATGCATTGTCTTAGCAGTGAGGAGGACACGACCTGCCGAAAGAATACAAGGTTACAACATAGAAAAAAATGGACTTTCTGCCCTACAGCTATTTGTCACTCAGAAAACAAAACCAAAAAAAAAAAATTAAGGAGATACCAGTTTCTTTGCCACCCCAGTGTGAGTAATGGTCTCCGCCTGGCCACCCCCATAAAAAATCATCTGCCTCCATCACTGGAGAGCAGATAAAACATTCCAGTTCCCAATTTCAAAAGACACTGGACAACTTCTGAGCAGGAGTTTGATTCATGAGCCAGTGCTGCATTTAAAAAGTGAAAAGAACTCTGTTTCAAGTCGGTGCCACCGGCTCTGATTTAAGAACACTTCAAATCCCGATCTTCCACCCAAAGATGAGGACAATTACATTCGGAAGAGTAGAAACCGAAAAAATATCTTCACATTTGAGTGTTTTAGGTCGGTAACACTCGAAAATGATAGTCCCTTGCGGATGTTTGCGCAGACATCTGCATAGTTGTTCTTATTCTACTACTTTCTAGTCTGCGTTGGGCCTGATTGCACGAGAGGTTCCATACATGCAAACGAGATCAGCATCTATCTCCTGCATGTATTCACACTTGGAATCACGTTTTGTTTTCTACTTCAAGCACAGTTGTAGTGAAGTGGCTGCACAGTTACACAGATGCCTTTACTGAGCATTACATTCGTTATTTGATGACAAAATTCTGTTATTTTTAAGGAATCTTGTATAGATTCAAATTATACTCAGTCTAGTCCAGTAATGCAACAAGACAAGACATCTAATACCTGATCTTATAGACTCAGCTTTGATCTCCTGGAGAATGTGTTGTCCAACAAGTAGAAACTAGAAAAAAGCTGCATGCATCGCACAAGTGAATCGCACTAAAAGTCAAAATGCTTTTTCTAGTTAACAACTCAAATGCTGTGGAGAACACGCAGCGTTGCTTCAAACCTGGCTGCAGAGAAGAGCGTCCCAGTGAGCTCACACTGCGAGAAAAACCTCAAGATGTCAGAAAAATGAGGTCTTCATGCTGTTAAAGCATTATTCTACGCTAAGCTCCGAGAGGTTAACCACTGCACAGACCCTCGGGCAGCATTAAACCCTCTGTGGAGCAGGGCAATAAATATTAGATGATGCCTGTTAAAGTGACCATCAAATGCCGGTTGAAGAGAGAGGGTAGCATGCCAAATAGTCTCAACGGACACTTACAGTAAATACATGAGGATGTGTGCGTTTTTTTGTGTGTAGGTGTGTGTGTGTATTTGTGTGTAAGTGAATGGATCTGCTCATGCACGTACGGGTGTGTGACACGCACGCGACTGTGTGTGCATGTGTGAAATTCTTGCTTGCATACAGTATGCGCTAATTGCAAAGAACATGTAGGGGTCTGTGTGGAGATAAGAGTGCAGTAACAGCAGAATACTGGATGTCCACAGCTGCGTGGGTGTTGACGGTGCACCTTCTCCCTCGTGAAACAGCCTCATTGAATAGGATTCCTATGTTCGGTCCAACCTTTTCTAGCCTGCATGTATATTGCAAAACCTTTCCTGAAAATTTAATTGTGAACGGGGACGGCATTTATCGGTTCACGCCGCCTGGTTCTCGCCTAACAGACCGGCTCTTTGGTTTGATCCTCGAGCCGTTCCTGAGCAGTNGGGGGGGCACTGAAGGTGACAGAGGACAAAACAGATAAGTGAAGGAGAGCGAGGGAGGCAAAATGAGGAGGAAGAGGGAGAGAAACGGAGGATAAAAGGATATAATACCCTCCCCATGAAGCCGACAACTCCTTGAAAGATTCTGTTTCCCTGCCCTAAACTATGATGTGGGCCCGCAGCAGAGGAGACCGTTTCATCCTCCGTATCGTGAGTGGTATCAATCTTCTCATCTAACGATCAGCAAGAAAAATATTAAGCGCGTTTCCCAAATGTGACACCATTCCTTTAAATCATGGGAAGAAATGGGTTTTTTTTTCGGCAGCATTTCGTTTTTTCTTCTTTTGTTTTAACATCTATCTTGCAAGAAAATCTTTTAGATGTATATAAACTGAAGCCGGTCCTGCTGAGTCTAAAGCAAGGACGGCAGAGGAAAGAAAAGCAACTTTGCCCATCATCAGGCCTGCACGATACTGTGAAACACTGACACTGTGATATTTGTGTTTTTGCGATATATATATATTTTGCAATATGAAAAAAACACAGGAATCTTCAACAGATTACTTAAATAACTCTGCAAAGAAATAATTATTCTAAACAACGTATGTCCTTTTAGAGGGAAATGTATTTGCACTAAAAATGGAAAAAGAGAAACTCTACACTTAACACTTCACTGTGAATTGTATGGAGCCCCTGTCATGTGGTGCAACACTGGTTCAGGCATCTAAAATCTTTTTTTTTTTGCATTGGAAGGCATTCTGATCTGGCTTTGCACTCATTATATAGAGTTTTGCGGTTCTGATTCAAATGGTCAAACAAATTAGCTCTGCTGCCTCATGCTGTGGAAACAACTGCATGATTGAGACAGAGTTTCTGTTTGTGGTCAACATCATCATCCTTTCTGTAGCAGAGATATTTCCATACAACTGACTGGGGCTGCACGATTATGGCCAAAATGATGATCGTGAATTTTTCAAACAACACTGAAATAAACTTATTTATCAGAATAACTATTTTTTATTGCACATTCCCATCTAATTAAGCAAAGATCTGCTTTATCTTTCATACTGAGCTACACTCCTGCTAATGTCGTTGCATTAAAAAACGACTGACAATAACATTTATTTCAACTGAACATAGTGCATCTCCTTGAGCAAAAATATAAACATTTTAAAAATTGTACACAAAACTCCTCACTTGCTAAACATCTGCTCACTGAGTGACACTACAGTTTATGTAGTTGTTGGCTAAACAGGCAAACTGTGGGAAAAGCTGGCTGAGCACAGAGAAACTTCTAGTTTGTATCAGGTGTGTGATCAAAAATTACTTGTGAATCAGGAGTTCTGATGTCAGATTTACCTCCACTGAAACGAAATGATTTTATCTGCACGGGCTGTTTTCTATAAGTAAAGTCTTCTATGAGCGTAGGCTGCATTTTAAGCGTCAATACTGCAGTCTATCATGATTATTCAATGGTAGGAGGACACTGATTGTGGAGCCCTACAGTTGACACTGAGTTTCTTATTTGCAACCAAATCTTTCTTTTCTGTTTCTCTTCTGTTCCTCGCTCATTTTGCTGTTTACATGTGGAGCCTGTGTCTTGTAGATGAAGTTAAAAATCTTAAATCTGTGTAAATTGTGTTTTATCAGGCAAATGAAGACGGAAAATGAAAACTGCGCGAGTGTTCTGTTTTGTATTAAGCAACAAAGAAAGTTGTATCATGAAGTGTACGACCATCACGGTGAAAGTAAAAACAATCACAAGCTCTTAGATGATCATTTGTTATCTATACGCTCATTTCGTGCGTCTTTGTTGCTTTGGAACTATTTTCTGTTAGTAGAATAACTTTCCAGCAGCTCAACTGTTGAAGAACTGCCAAAGGGTCAAAAGGTTAAACCTTGAGGCCAACCAGAGAAGATATGTTTACATCCCCAAAGGGGTTTTGGAGAGAAGGCTCAGTGGTTCTTATATGGTATGCAGACTGATAACAGAATTACATTTACATCAAAGTATAATATGAAGACATTTCTGTTTGTTCACTTTAAAAGCTATCACATTTGTACTTCTTCGAGAAAGAAACTCTCCTATTCTCCGTATTGTATGCAATATTAAATCAACTCAGCAAAGTGTTTTGTGCCTTCTGAGTTTAACGATATAGCAAATTTCCACGACATCACGACAGTTCGATGCTGAAGCGATATACCATGCGGCCCAAATCGCTACTTCGCTCAGTGACTAAAGAATGAGTCTCTCATGGTTGTGGCTTGGTGTCAGCAAGACAGAAGGAGAAGAGGAAAAGAGATGGGAAAAAAAAAAGGAGAGGAAAAGCACAGAGCGGGGTTATCCTTGCCACTGCCAAATGTGTTAATGAGTGGGCCTACTGGTCAGAGCAAACACACATGCATGCACACACACACACACACACACACACACACGAACAAGAACACACACGTCTGGACCTGCAGTGTGCCAGACCGGATGGTACTAGAAGTGCGCCTGCCAACTGCTAACAGCTCTCCCAGAGTGGCCCTCACTCAGACACACACAGATGCATAGTGCTCGCACACATTCACAAACCTACCATACCGACACATTCAACACACACACACACACACACACACACCTCAAATTTCTGCCGTAGCTCCTCGTTGCCCTCCTCCCCCTCCGGAGCGACGGGAACGTTGAAGTACTCGCCTTCTTCCTGGGAGAGCAGCTTAAACCTGGAGAGAGAGAGAGAGAGAGAGAGAATATTTCCAGTCAAATCAATTCCCAATTAGTTTATACAATTAAGGTGTTTAAACGTTGCCATTAACTGAAGCTACTGACAGTTAGCACGTCGGTTTAAGGTCCTAAAGAATAATCAGGTAATTATTTAGTAATTCCCTCTCCTTCATGGTGCTCCAGCAGAGCCTGATGTAGATGAGCCCGTAACGCAGCTGAGACGACACACAATCAATAGAATATAATTTTTCATATTAGCCCACATTTGGTCCATTAATGGTGATGCCACTCTTGGCTGAACCGCATACCTCACGGCATAAACACCACATTTACAGCAAATAACTTGTGCTGTGTGTTAATGGATTCGGTAACACGGATCTCAGCTCTTTACTTGCTGATATTTTTGATTGTTTTTCTCAGGCAATGTGGGACCTCGATGCTCAATAGGTTCAGACTTTTCACAACCAAGAGATCACATCTGTGCTTCAAAACTTGTCTGAGTTAAAACACTGTACAAGTAGATGATATAACTAGTATTTTCTGTGCAGCTTTTTTAGACCACTTGGGGGATAGCAGAAATAACCTGCACACACAACCCTGACACATTATCATCTTTAAAGTTGATAAGGCAAACTTGTTGGCAAACGATTTCATATTTGCACATCCGGCAGACACAGAGCAACATCATTTATTTGGAGCTAAGTTTCTGGCAAGTGTTTGACTTTTTAGCTGCTAAATGCCCACGTTCACCAGCTACTGCTTATCGACTCTGGAGACAATCCAAGCGGCGAACCGAAGCTGCAAAGTGGAAGCCAAAGGAAGGAACCGAAAGAAGCTATGATGCTCTGTAGGAGTCGAGGGGAAGCTGTCTTGATGGAGTCGCTTCTGTGAGTGACCTCTTTCACATTCAACTGGTAATTTGATTTATTGTTCATAAGAAAACACTGATTAGAGTTGGAGGACGTTGCACATTTGAACGCATTAAAGGAAATCAAACAGTGCAACCGCTATGAGCTAAACAAACTGAACATTGTGTGAAAAAATAAAGCCTTAGACACATTTTTACGACAGTACCAAAGTAGGATTGTGTCACAAGCTCAACTCTTTTAAACATTATTGCAAATAGAACATACAGAAATTTTGAGAGTTTTAGTTTTTATGTCACCTTCACTCTGTGAGCCTTTGGAGCCGCACAAAGATGGAGCAGATGAAAACCTACACTTGGTTCTCTCTGAATATCAGGTTTTTTTTTTAATGGCATCTCTCCACCTTCCACCATTCCACCTCAAATGCTGGCATCTCATTAAAAACCCTGACAGGGCAGAGTCAGCAAAACAAGAGGAAGATAGAGAGATATAGAGACTGGGCTACAGAGGGAAGAGGGAGGGTGGCGGAGAGATAAAGAAGCCGAGATAAAGAGACGGGCTGGAGTTACTCTGGCACCGAATATAACCGGGATAAAAAAAAAAAAAGAGGAGCTCCGACTAAAGTATTTCTCCCACAGTGCAGTAATGAACAAGGTCACCTTCGCTCTCCCTCCTCCTCTACTGGTGCCGTTTCTCTGCCTCATGTCTTTTCACTCCCTCTTTCATTCATCCCCTTCATTCCCTTCCTCTCATCTCACCATCCGTCCACCCCTTGTTTCTGGAGCTCTGAGATGCCAAAGGACAGCGATCCCATGAAGTCATTGCGACTGGTCAGGTCCCAGTCCCAAATCTCCACCGACAGACGGCGGTCCTTGTCGTACTCCTTCAGGTGGCTGCGAGAGAGATGGGCAATGATAAATGTACAGTGAGTGTTTTGTAATATTGCTTTAACGTTCCACAGAGCAATCTTGGACTCTGATGATCACATTCATAAATACAAGAAAGGCAGTAGTAGCTGTCTGGAAGGCTTTCACAAATTCATTCACACCGCATGCACGAACTAGTTTATTAACACTCATTTTTCATCTCGTATTTTGATTTCGTTGGATAGATGCAAAAAAAAAAAAAAAAAAGTGCCTTTCAGACCGAACATCTGCACCCAGACGCCTTGCAATTGATAATCTCAGCCTTCTCCCGTGCAAACTGTGACGAGGCTTATTAAAGACGTTGTTGGAGCCAACTGCAGCAAACGAGCCCATAAGCAAGATTTCACAAATATGAGAAGCCAGATGTTTTTATCTGAGCACCAGCGGTTACACATGCTTGGAAAGACGAGCGTAATGTGAAACACTGAGCGAGTGAGGGCGATGAAAGAGAAGACAAAAAAAAAAAAAAAAACGATAAATGCAAAGTGAAGATGAAAAAAGGGAGAGATGGACAGAGAGATGAATTAAATAGGAAGCCACCAAACTTGCTGTGATAAAGCCTTACAATTTAAAGGTCTCGTTCCAGGTGGGGTTGAGGCAGCACTTTATGGTCTTGGTCTTCTGCTTACTCTCGCTGCGGGGATCTGGGATCAGTTTGAGCTTCACATAGGGGTCTGACAGACCGTTGGGGTCCATAGGAACCAGATTCCTGGCCTCTTTGACTGAAGGGAGAAACAGAAAGAAGGAAAGAAGTGGAGGGAGGTGAGAGAAGGAAGGAAGGAAGAAATTGAGAAAATGAGAGTTAAAATAAGTCCAAGTAGCATTTTGAATTATTGATGAATGAAAGTCAAGACATTCATAAACTGAAACAAAATATAAGCAACTGGCAGAGACGCACAGAATCAGAGGTTTAACACAGATGTTGCTCTTTTTGCATACAGAAGTGAGCAAATGTAGCTAAATACAACCTCAACAGTTACTTAAGCAAAACAAACTAGAAGCCATCTTTGACCTCTTTGAACCCAAAAACTCATCAGTGGGTTTGATATTTTTAAAAAACCTCCAGAAACTGTAAAAGCATCATTGGACTTTCAATTTCATAACAGTTCTTCAACTGGTCATGTTCTGATGTGCTGTTCTGTTGGAAAAAACTACATGTCTCATTAAATGTTTACCAAAAATGATGTTTGCACGAAGCCGATTCTGCAAAAAAACGAACAAAAAAACAAAAACAAAATGTGTTCCGAAGCACAAATGAGAAGCGATTCAGCTTAAAAAAAACAGTTGTGGCAGAAATCCAGCAACTTTCCAGCTGAACTGGGATGAACTGCAGGATGTGTTTACGCAGAGCACAGCGATTACAAGGTTTGGAAATAAATTGAAAATGCAAGTAGTAAAATATCTTTAGTATGTAGAGTCACCACATCTTTACAGAATTAGGAACACCTGTGCTGTGCATGTTAATTCCATGTTTTTTGTTCAATTTTCGTAAAATAAATAATGAAAGCCATTTAACTTCAGTTTTTTTGTTTTGTATGACTTATGGCATTATAACGATGGTTATGCTGTTTCCATAGCCGTGCTGGACTTACTGTAGCAGGGACAATGAGTCAAAAGTGAGCAAAAAATGTGATAATTGCAACAAAAACCAGAAAAAACAGATACTGCTTGGAGTTCAGAGGGTTAAGGTCAAGAAAACAACCCTAATAATGATTTTTGTACATTTAAGCTACATGTTTTAACTGCAAATTACATACTGTGCACATAATAGCTTTTTAAATATCATAATTAAGAATGGAAATTACATTAACCTTCACTAATTTTGCACACCACCTGCTGCAGGCTTCATTTTTATAACATGTGGGCGATTATTTTCCCACTTGGTAAAGCTGCAGTGGATGGCTAGTTATTTTCTGGAATATAAAGTAATACTGCTAAGAAGACAATTATTTACCACACCTTTGTACTGCATAAATGCAAAGTTGTCAGTGATAAAACAACTATTTATATCCATATTTCGCAGGTTGCCAGGTGTTATTTTATGTGTGACCGAAATTTGGAGAGTGCTTCCTGTCAATAATCTATTTAACAGCAAAATAAAAAAATAAAGCCTGGTGAACTCGAGGAACACATTGAAACACATCAGAACCCCTTGTTGCATCGGAGGTGACAGCCTCGGGGTTGCCAGATCTGTCTGTAATGACCATGTAGACAGATGAAGGTTGCCAGTACCAACACTAATCCTTCTTTTGTGGCTTTCTATTATTGGGCTGTAATTGTATTCCAGTGGTGTAAAATCCCCTGCGATTGGAGTGTGTGTGTGTGTGTGTGTGTGTGTGTGTGTGTGTGTGTGTGTGTGTGTGTGTGTGTGTGTGTGTGCAATTATTGTTACTGGTCAAGTTGTGAGGTCACAGCCAATTCCCAGAAGCAGGGCTGCTGTGTCTTAAGCAGCTCGCTGGGGTAACACTCGACACAAATAAACACACAAGAAACTTTTTTCTTCACACACAAAATACCCATAAGCGCTTGGCAGATGTGGCTCTATAATTTGTGTTTTGAGGTAAATAACAGGCAAAAGAAGAAACTATGATGAGCTAAGGTATGATGTGCAATATCGCTTTTAGCTTGTGTTAAACTGTCACGTCATGTAAAATACATTGTGAAGAGAACAGCAGGGGCGGAGATGACTAACAGTAAAGCACATTCTAGGAATACACCTACTCATAGAGGTGGAGTCATATCCTCACTCAGCAGGTAAAAAACATAACTTTTCAGGATCTTTTTTAATTAACATATAAAGAAATACACTGAGTGGCAGCAGGATGTAGCTCCATAGGTAAGTGATTCTGTTTGCAGGTTACTTTGCACATTGTTTTACACATTACTATTTTTCTTAAATGTAATGTGTGAGCTACTGGATACCAATTTCCCAAAGAGGATGAATAAAGCATCGATCTACGAGTTCTCATGGTGTACACCAGGGATCTCCAACTCCAGTCCTCGTGAGCTACTGTGCTGCAGGTTCTAGATGTTTCCGTACTGCAACACATCTGATTCAAATGAATGGATCTCCAACAGCTTGTTGTCAAGTTCTACACAAGTCTGTTAATAACTCATTAATTTGAGTCAGGTTTGTTGCAGTAGGGAAACGTCTAAAACCTGCAGGACAGTAGCTCATGAGGACCAGAGTTGGAGATCCCTGTTCTACATGGTTGTCATGCCTGCATAAGTAAATCCTAAAAATAAGTCAATTTTCACTCAGACGTTGAGGTTTGTTTCAGCTAAAAGGTCGACCTCTGTAACTTCAATCTCACAACACCACTAACGCTACAATGTAATGAAGGCTCATCTTTACAAAAAACATCCTGATGAAGTTCCGGATGTGTGCAGAGAAGCTTTAATACAAACAATTCCACTTTATAAACCTGGAATCTGCGCGGAGCAGCTGATCTGACGGGTGTGTGGAAGAAACTATTTACCATCAGATCCCGGGTTAACGAAGCCGCTGTGCCGCACATCGCTCTCAGTTTAAAGCTTTATTCTGCTGTCTGATGCTGCAGGTGTTTATTAAAGTCAAAGGAAAGAATCTGACACGCAGCCAATTACATTCAGTGAAATCTGAACGGCGTTATTGTAAGACTCCGGCGTTAATCTAACACGTTTCAGGTCCGTCTGAGTAGCATTAATGGCTTTATTTAACAGACATGTCAACGTATTATATAATAGATGTCTGTGGGTGGTGCAGCGCTACCTGGACACCTGCCACAGCTTCACCACCTCTGGCTGGGTGACGAAGTGTGATGCTGAAACACCCTTTGACTCCAGGAAACATTGCTAATGATGTGTTCGGGTGCATTAAAATGGCACATTGTATGTTTAAAAGGAGTGTAATCGATACCGTATGATATAACGGAGAAGTAAAATCACCAAGAGACGTGACATTACTGATGTTGCAGAACTCTTTGTGTTTGCACCTCTGCTGGCTGAAGAGACATAAACTGAAGCTTTTGAACCCTCTGTATTTTTGATTCTGCGTCAGTCTCTGCGTGAAGAGAAGCTCTGCTCACTGTGAAAAGTAACTTCACAGTCTGTGATTCATTAATGGGCTGTAGGCGTCTTGTAACTTCTGTCCAATACTTTACGTTTGGTTTCTCTTTGTCACATTTGTACTGAAGACAAAGAAATACGCGATGCAAAACAGGGAACGTTATTTAACACATGTGGCCTCATGCATTGTCTTAGCAGTGAGGAGGACACGACCTGCCGAAAGAATACAAGGTTACAACATAGAAAAAAATGGACTTTCTGCCCTACAGCTATTTGTCACTCAGAAAACAAAACCAAAAAAAAAAAATTAAGGAGATACCAGTTTCTTTGCCACCCCAGTGTGAGTAATGGTCTCCGCCTGGCCACCCCCATAAAAAATCATCTGCCTCCATCACTGGAGAGCAGATAAAACATTCCAGTTCCCAATTTCAAAAGACACTGGACAACTTCTGAGCAGGAGTTTGATTCATGAGCCAGTGCTGCATTTAAAAAGTGAAAAGAACTCTGTTTCAAGTCGGTGCCACCGGCTCTGATTTAAGAACACTTCAAATCCTGATCTTCCACCCAAAGATGAGGACAATTACATTCGGAAGAGTAGAAACCGAAAAAATATCTTCACATTTGAGTGTTTTAGGTCGGTAACACTCGAAAATGATAGTCCCTTGCGGATGTTTGCGCAGACATCTGCATAGTTGTTCTTATTCTACTACTTTCTAGTCTGCGTTGGGCCTGATTGCAGGAGAGGTTCCATACATGCAAACGAGATCAGCATCTATCTCCTGCATGTATTCACACTTGGAATCACGTTTTGTTTTCTACTTCAAGCACAGTTGTAGTGAAGTGGCTGCACAGTTACACAGATGCCTTTACTGAGCATTACATTCATTATTTGATGACAAAATTAGGTTATTTTTAAGGAATCTTGTATAGATTCAAATTATACTCAGTCTAGTCCAGTAATGCAACAAGACAAGACATCTAATACCTGATCTTATAGACTCAGCATCAGCTTTGATCTCCTGGAGAATGTGTTGTCCAACAAGTAGAAACTAGAAAAAAGCTGCATGCATCGCACAAGTGAATCGCACTAAAAGTCAAAATGCTTTTTCTAGTTAACAACTCAAATGCTGTGGAGAACACGCAGCGTTGCTTCAAACCTGGCTGCAGAGAAGAGCGTCCCAGTGAGCTCACACTGCGAGAAAAACCTCAAGATGTCAGAAAAATGAGGTCTTCATGCTGTTAAAGCATTATTCTACGCTAAGCTCCGAGAGGTTAACCACTGCACAGACCCTCGGGCAGCATTAAACCCTCTGTGGAGCAGGGCAATAAATATTAGATGATGCCTGTTAAAGTGACCATCAAATGCCGGTTGAAGAGAGAGGGTAGCATGCCAAATAGTCTCAACGGACACTTACAGTAAATACATGAGGATGTGTGCGTTTTTTTGTGTGTAGGTGTGTGTGTGTATTTGTGTGTAAGTGAATGGATCTGCTCATGCACGTACGGGTGTGTGACACGCACGCGACTGTGTGTGCATGTGTGAAATTCTTGCTTGCATACAGTATGCGCTAATTGCAAAGAACATGTAGGGGTCTGTGTGGAGATAAGAGTGCAGTAACAGCAGAATACTGGATGTCCACAGCTGCGTGGGTGTTGACGGTGCACCTTCTCCCTC